AGTCGACTTACTGAAGTTACTTTCTGGAGTGCAGCACAATGCCATCGTGAACTAGGTCGCTCCATACCAGCACTATCACATATGAAAAATAAGAAAGCAGTCAAAAAATTGTTCTTAAAAAGCAAACTTAGCATTTCAGTACTATTCATGAAATTTCGCTAATTTCTCCCACCAAAAACACAAAAATGCAAGTTACCGTACGCTGTCTGCTTCGATTTGTTTTCTGCACATCTCAAAAAACTGTTATGTCAGCTATCGGTCTCTATAATGTTACACAAAACTCAGTCGAACGAAATGAGTATCCAAATCAATGCAGGAAATTCGCCAGTACAATTTAGGTAATAACACGGACGCGGAGAATGGGGGCAGGGACCGGCAAAGTATTCTTCAAGCTCTTCTAAAATGCATTTTAGACGGTAAAACCAGGCTCTGCAGATTCACTCAAACGCGTCACGAATCGTAAAATCTGGCTTTGTCCATTACAAAATCTTGCTTGACGATTTTTTCGCATACTTTTGTGCTCCAAAAAAAAAAAAACCGTTAAGCAGTGCAGTGGGCAAAGCTCGAGTGCTTTATTCGCAAAGAAATAGGCTCGGGTTTTTCTAACTCACTTCCAACTAATATTGGTTTTCCAGCACACTGTGCCCTGGGTTTTTTACTGTCGCTTATTCGGCTCCTTACAGCAGTCTGTTCAATTAAATTTATTCTGATATTGTTTAGCTGTCTATACTGTTAATGATAAATCCAACGACTGTCTGTGCTCAAACGTATTAATGAATAGCCTTGCAAACAAACAGTCACCATTCCCATAACCTAAAGTGATATTTTCCATAAAGAGCCTAAAATCTAAAAAAAAAAAACCCCCTATCAAGTGAAAAAATTGCTGTTCATTTAAGCACTTTTTATTCAGTTGGAAAATATTAGTTGTAAGTCAAATAACAATTAAGTAACCCTCTTCTTTAATTTGTTAACAATCCTGAAGATTGTATCATTTATTTTTATAGCAATTTAAAATTTAAT